TGAAGACCAGTCAGCACTCAGCACAGGCAGAGGCACTTTCCTAAATAGTCCGTCTGGCGCCAATCTTCACAGTGCGTGATCGTGCATTTCTGTGCACATGCGCACGTCTATTCACCAGCCGTCTCACGGGAATTCCCTTACAGCATGTTTTGTTGCTTCTGTCTTCTTAAACTGTTTATAAATTAATAAAAACAATGAAATACAAAAAAAAAGATATTGATCAGTTCAGGCACTATACTAGCAATGGAGGTTTATTGTGTGTGTGAGCGTCTTCCTGGCAATCAAGGGGTTAAATGTGATGACTTGTGTACCATGGGGCAATTTGACGCTATCTGGGAGGGGCGTGAAAACCACGTGAGCGCGAATCATGTATGTGTGTGTGTGTGTGTGTGTGTGTGTGTATGTATGTATGTATGTATATATATATACAGTGGGGATCGAAAGTTTGGGCACCCCAGCTAAAAATTTGTATTAATGTGAATAAAGAAGCCAAGGAAAGATGGAAAAATCTCCAAAAGGCATCAAATTACAGATTAGACATTCTTATAATATGTCAACAAATTTACATTTTATTTCCATTATTTACACTTTCAAAATAACAGAAAACAAAAAAATGGCGTCTGCAAAAGTTTGGGCACCCTGCAGAATTTATAGCATGCACTGCCCCCTTTGCCAAGCTGAGACCTGCCAGTGTCATGGATTGTTCTCAATCATCATCTGGGAAGACCAGGTTATGTCAGTCTCAAAGGTTTTAAATGCCCAGACTCATCTGACCTTGCCCCAACAATCAGCACCATGGGTTCTTCTAAGCCAGGGGTGGGCAAACTTTTTGACTTGAGGGCCGCAATGGGTTCATATATTGGACCCGGGGGCCGGGGGGCCAGACCAAGAGTAGATGAATGATGTGTATGTGTCATCCATAGTAAGTATAGTAATATTCCCCCATAGTAAGCATAGTAATTAATCCCCCATATAGTAATTCATCCCCCCTATAGTAATTCATCCCCCCCTATAGTAATTCATCCCCCCCTATAGTAATTCATCCCCCATAGTAATTCATCCCCCCTATAGTAATTCATTCCCCATATTAAGTCCCCAAGTCCCCCCTGTGTCAATTCACTTACCTTTGCTCCGCGCGTTCCTCTTGCCGTGTTCCCGCGCCGTTCCGGTGTAGCATGAAAATCTGTCTCTTATGAGGATCTGTCCCCCTCGTCGTATCTGCGCATGTGCCAGTTTCAGGCATTAGCAGCCGATCGGCGATCTCCGGCACATGCGCAGATACGTCGAGGGGGACAGATCCTCATAGGAGACAGATTTTCATGATACACCGGTCTTCAGGGCGGACTGTGAGAGGAGCCTAGCGGGAGCCTAGCTCCGCGGGCCGGATTAAAAGGTCCGCCGGGCCGTAGTTTGCCCATTGCTGTTCTAAGCAGTTGTCTAGAAAACTGAAACTGAAAATAGTTGATGCTCACAAAGCTGGAGAAGGCTATAAGAAGATAGCAAAGCGTTTTCAGATGTCAATATCCTCTGTTCGGAATGTAATTAAGAAATGGCAGTCATCAGGAACAGTGGAAGTTAAAGCAAGATCTGGAAGACCAAGAAAAATATCAGACAGAACAGCTCGCAGGATTGTGAGAAAAACAATTCAAAACCCACGTTTGACTGCACGATCCCTCCAGAAAGATCTGGCAGACACTGGAGATGTGATACACTATTCCACTATAAAGAGATACTTGTACAAATATGGTCTTCATGGAAGAGTCATCAGAAGAAAACCTCTTCTACGTCCTCACCACAAAAATCATCGTTTGAACTTTGCAAATGAACATATAGACAAGCCTGATGCATTTTGGAAACAAGTTCTGTGGACCGATGAGGTTAAAATTTAACTTTTTGGCCGGAATGAGCAAAGGTACGTTTGAAGAAGAAGGGGCACAGAATTTAATGAAAAGAACCTCTGTCCAACTGTTAAGCATGGGGTTGGATCAATCATGCTTTGGGGTTGTGTTGCAGCCAGTGGCACAGGGAACATCTCACGAGTAGAAGGAAAAATGGATTCAATAAAATTTCAGCAAATTTTGGATGGTAACTTGATGCCATCTGTGAAAAAGCTGAAGTTAAAGAGAGGATGGCTTCTACAAATGGATAATGATCCTAAACACACCTCGAAATCCACGAGGGATTACATCAAGAGACGTAAACTGAAGGTTTTGCCATGGCCTTCACAATCTCCTGACCTCAAGCATCATTGAAAATCTATGGATAGACCTTAAAAGAGCAGTGCGTGACAGACAGCCCAGAAATCTCAAAGAACTGGAAGACTTTTGTAAGAAGAATGGGCAAAGATACCTCAAACAAGAATTGAAAGACTCTTGGCTGGCTACAAAAAGCGTTTACAAGCTGTGATACTTGCCAAAGGGGGCAGTACAAGATATTAACTCTGCAGGGGGCCCAAACTTTTGCAGACGCCATTTTTTTGTTTTCTGTTATTTTGAAAGTGTAAATGATGGAAATAAAATGTAACTTTTGTTGACATATTATAAGAATGTCTAATCTGTAATTTGATGCCTTTTGGGGATTTTTCCATCTTTCTTGGCTTCTTTATGCACATTAATACAAATTTTTAGCTGGGGTGCCCAAACTTTCGATCCCCACTGTATATATATATATAAATAAAATGTGATTTTGCGCACCCGTGCCTTCTTGTAGCAGTATTACTGCTATAGGGCGGTTAGAAAGCGGTTACATAAGCGGTTTGTGTTATGGCGCTGCGTTACTTTAGCTGACAATTGCACGGTCATGCAACGCTGCACCAAAATGAAATTTACGTCCTTTTTTCCCCATGAATTGAGCTTTCTTTCGATGGTATTTGATCGCCTGTGTGTTTTTTTTATTTTTTTTCGCTATCAAAAAAAAAAAAGGCCACAATTTTGAGAAAAAAAAAAAACCCAATATTTTGGACTTTTGCTATAAAACATGAAAACATGTCCAGTAAAAAAATTTAAAAATCAAATTTCGTCATAAATTTACACCAAAGTGCATTCTGCTCCATGTCTTTGCTAAAAAAAAAAAATCCTAGTACGTGTAAATTAATTGGTTTACGTGAAAGTTATAGCATCTACAAATGGGAAACTGACTTGGGTGTGTGCTTCACTGTTACACACTGATCCGGAAGGCTCTGCTCAGCAATCCGGAACAGTGTGCTCAAAACTGACAGGGAGGAGAGCTCCATTGAAAACAATGCAACCTTCCTCCCCATCAGTGTTTTGTTGGCAATCGCTGAGCTCTGGCAGGTAATCGGGACCCGCTGATTGACACCCGCAGCCACGTTCAGTGCTGCGGTTAGGGCGACCGCGCACCTTGCACACGCCCCCCTACCCTGAAATGCAGGATCACGTTTATATACGTGATCCTGCACACATCGGCCGCCTTGTAGCAGTATATGTACAGCGGGCGGTCCCCTAGTGATGAAAGTGATTCTAAAGGTTTTTTGTTTTTTTTTTAGAAAAAATATCAAACATGTTATACTTACCTGCTGTGTGCAGTGGTTTTGCACAGGGCAGCCTAGATCCTCCTCTTCTCAGGTACCCCCGTGGACTCTCCTGCCCCTCCCTCCTGTAGGGTGCCCCCGCAGCAAGCAGCTTGCTATGGGGACACCTGCTGTTCCATGTCTCCATTCATACATACATACAGCCTCGGCTCGGCCCTGCACCCTCTCTTATCATTGGCTCACTGGCTGTGATTGACAGCAGTGGGAGCCAATAGTTCCTGCTTCTGTCTCAGCCAATGAGAAGAGGAAGTCCTGGGATAGCCAGTACACATCGCTGGATCGAGAAGGGGCTTAGGTGAGTATTTGGGGGGGGGGGGGGGTGTTTGCACACAGAAGGTAAAACCAGCTGTTATGAATTAATTTGAATCATTAGTTTCATGTGAATGCTTAAAACATCCGAATGAAATAAATACATTTTGTTTGATTTGCTGTGATCTTATTCGGATTCTTTGAAATTTGTTACTATTGTGATCTGGAGACTTGGACACAGTAATTGCATTTAAGAAATACAACGGGCTGGTTGTACCCAGGACGACTGATGGATCAACTTTGGTCAACCAACCTGCCCATACATGGACCGAATCTTGGCCCTCTCTTGCAAAATAACATGTTTTCCCATCACGCACAAAAATTTGCTTCCCTTTAGCAGACACACAGCGGTGCCACTGATGGCACCCCCCATGCATCTGCTAATGTGAGCATTTTCATGAGCCTCAAACTACATGGTGCCGCAATACCACTGTTAGCCCGGGGGGGAGAGGGGACAGTTTGACATTTTCACCCTGTTGACCTTGTGATGGATATGGTAAAATGCCTATTTGGTTTCCTGTTGAATATATACATGTTTCTATACATTTTATACATATCTACTTTTATACTTTTTTATATTTCTAAATGTTTTGTATGAAAATATATATATATATATATATATATATATATATATATATATATAATGTGTTGTGTGTGTATATTTTCTGCCTGCTGGGCTTTGTGGTACTTTAAGAAATCCTTGCTCAAGAAATGTCTGCTCAGCAACCCCTCCCATCGAGTGAACTTGAGAACAAAGAAATATTTCTTTTCAGAGATAAGAAGTAGAAGAGGATCACGCTTCTATTCTGAAAGGAGATTGTTTTCCTGTAAAGTGACCAATCAAAGACTAATATAATGCTTATGCTGCTCTCACGTGATGTTTGCATTATATTGCATATATAAGCTCACTTTCTCATTATAATAAACTAGAAGTGTTCATAGACTGAACTTATGTGTGTCAGCGTGAGTCGCTTCCAGTGTGCGCACATTCCAAAGCTAGCAAGATTAATTAGGACAGGAGCAGATGATCACCGGACTCTTGGTCCTCACTAAATCAACCTGGATCTGGCACTGATCGTGCCATTCATTTCTGGGGGTAAAATTAATGTTCTTCTTCTGGTAACATTCTTCTCTTCTACAGATTGGATAATAATCACCTGACAGACAGTTCCTGCCCCCACCTGGCATCTGGAATAAGAAATAACCCGACACTGAGGACACTGAACCTGTCTGGGAACAATCTGGAGGGTCCTCATTTCAGGGATCTGATGGCGGCTCTGACAACAAGCCAGATAGAGGAATTACAGTGAGTATAACAGGACTGACTGAGACAATCATATTCTGGGAGAGTATAACATTCCAGCTATGAAAAAAAAAATTATAAATTTTTAAATTATTAAAATTGATCATTTTTGTCAGACTCTTTAGGTAGCCAATCCCAGACTGCTGCCCAAATCTTAGAATCATATCACACTAGAATTGGCCAAAAAATATTTCCCATAACCTTGTTATAATCTGATATTGTATATAGTTTGGAAACAAGTAAAAGAGATGAGATTGTAGGAGGTCATACACGGGAGAATCTGATTTTACAGCAGTGAGCAATCAGAGCCTCATATGAGCTTCCTGTCACCTGACCTGACCAACCGCTGTTCAGTGTCAGGGATCCCCCATTACTCCCTATGAGTACAGAGCTCTGATCAGCAGAGAGAAATAGAATATCAGATAAAATCCTCCCGTCCAATCACTAGCAATGCTGATTCCGGCCTCACACTGTCTGCTGGTCCCATTCATGCTCCATACACAAGGAGATGATAGCACAATACGAGTCATGTCAGTGGTATTCTGTGCTCATCCTGTGTATGGAGATATCACCGTCTCTACACATGGAGGACAATATTGGGGGGTCTACTCCATTATAACATTTGTCTTATAAAATTATATTTCTTGGAGATTTATAAAGTGATGGAATATAAATGATTCCAATAAAGAGAAATGAGTTCCATCCATGTAGAGAATAGTTCCATTCATTCCTGGGGGGGGGGGGGGGATTCATTTTCTTCTGGTAACATTCTTCTCTTCTACAGATTTTATAATAATCACCTGACAGACAGTTCCTGCCCCCACCTGGCATCTGGAATAAGAAATAACCTGACACTGAGGACACTGGACTTGTCTGGGAACAATCTGGGGGGTCCTCATTTTAGTGATCTGATGGCGGCTCTGACAACAAGCCGGATAGAGGACTTACAGTGAGTATAACAGGACTGACTGAGAGTTTTGGGCTCCATGCACACTAGCGTTTGTAAGCTCAAAAAACGCTGGATAAAAACTCTGTGAATAGTTTTTTTTTTTTTTTTTTTTAGTAGCGTTCAGAAATGTTTAGGAGCGATAGCGTTTTATTAGCGTTTTTTCAGTACTGAAAGGGATTTGTGCCTCTAATGACCACTGGTAGGTTTCGGCCCCCCCGTTGGGCTCAAGAGACTGTTCTCAGCAAGAAAGAAAACCACACATGCACACCATTCATTTGAATAGGTCACATGAGGCGGACAGTGCTTGCCCACCAAACATGATGGGGGGGAGATGATTATCAGTACAAAAAATGGCCGCTGCCCCAGTCAATAACTGGCCTTCACAGCAAGGGGCACATGGAAGGGCGACGAAGGTCAAACAACAAAATAGAAAAGTTCCCAGCCCAGCTCGCCAACCAGCCTGCAAACAAACTGAATGAACCTGTCTAGCAGTATGCATTAAAACCGGGGTTTAGTTAGCACACATTTGCAAATACATGCGTAAGCTACAGAGCCACGTCACGGCACTCCGACATTCTGTAGTTCTTAACTCTACAAATTTTGAGAGCCCCCATAGTAGAGGCACATGTATTTAATGGATAGACCAAGGGCAGGTGGATCTGAGGGAGCCCACCTGTCCTTAAAGGTACAGGAGCGCACCGGACACCCAGCATGTAGCAGCCAAGGTGTCCAGTGCTTCCCCTCGACCAACCATTCTACAGTACATAAAATGTCCGCTGCCCCAGTCAAAAACTGGGGATGATTATCACTAGGTGCACAGCAGCCGCAGCGTATGCATACACTGTATGTTTGCCTTTGTAGCCATTGCCTTCAAACAGTAGAAAAAAGCAGCTTAAAATAAATAAATAAATATGTTCCCTGCAAGGAAACCTCATAATGTGCTAGCATGCATTTCATACCAGCACATTATGAAGGACGTACCGTAAAGTGGTAGTGAACTCTTCTTCAAAACTTTTACCTACAGGTGAGCTTATAATAAATCTTACCTATAGGTAAAACGAACATCTCCTAAAATATGCGCTCCGTTTAGGAGATATTCGCTCTTTTAGAGAGCCGATGCGTGCACTCTAAAGGAAACGTATACCCGTGCCGTTCCTTCGGAGCACTGTGCCGTGGTTTTAGACTCCCACGCACACGGGGACATACACGCGCAAGTGGCCTGTGGTTGTGAGGGTCCGCAGGCAGGGGGCTTATAGGAATCTGGCCGCCGGCACACAGTGATTACCGAGCATCTCCGACAAGGAGGAAGACTTAGTAAAAAAAAAAGTCTTCCTCCTTGGTTAATCACTGTGTGCCAGCGGGTAGTTACCGGCCGGGGACCGGGTGATTGACAGCTGTGGCCGCAAATGGTGGCATGGGCCACGCCCCACAATGCATGGGCCCTGACATGGGCCCTGACAGTGCATTGCAATTGGTCAAAGCAATGCACCTCACCAGTGGCAATCACAGCACCTGGTGATGTCACAAGGGGGCGGGGTAAACCCCCACCCCCTTGTGACATCATGGCAGTACTTAAGACTCTATTTTTTTTTTTTTTTTTTTTTTTTTCACTAAGTCTTCCTCCCTGTCAGCTCGGGCACACTTCTTTGGATGGCCATCAAGGGCAGTGTGATTACAGTGACGCACACAGACACCGCCCCATAGTAAAACACTCCCAGCACATAGTTCACCCTTTGATCGCCCCTCATATTAACCCCTTCCTGTCCAATGTTATTAGTACAGTGTTAGTGCTTTTTTTTTAGCACTGATCACTGTATTTGTGTCACTGGGGATGTCAGTGACACCAAGTCAGTTCCCCCCCCAGTGACAGTCCCGCTATAAGTTGCTGATCGCCACCATAGTAGAAATACTAGTAGAAAAAAAAATCCCAGTATCTATACCGCCATTTGTAAATGGTATAACATTCACGTAAACCAATTAATTTACACGGATTGGGATTTTTCTTTTAGCGAAGACACGGAGCAGAATACATTTTGGTCTAAATTTATGACGAAATTTAGATTTTCTTTTTTAAATTTTGTTACTGGACATGTTTAATAGCAAAAAGTGAAAAATATTGTTTTTTTTTTTCTCAAAATTGTCAGTCTTTTTTTTATTTTTAGCGCAAAAAGTAATAACTGCACAGGCGATCAAATACCACTGAAAGAAAGCTCTATTTGTGGGGAAAAAAGGATGTAAATTACATTTTGGTGTGCAGCGTTGCATGACCGTGCAATTGTCAGTTAAAATAAGGCAGCGTCGTTTCGCAAAAAAAAATGGCCTGGTCAGGAAGGGGGGGGGGGGGAATTCCTCTGGAGGGCGAGGGGTTAATGCCTGTTTATCATAGCTATTTGACCTTACTGTTATTGTCATGTCACTGCGTATCCTTGTGATTTTGTTTTACTGCAATATTATACAGATTTGGGTCATGCCTGTAGTTGACTTATAATTCCTACTAAGTATCGGTGACTTTACATTTGTATCTTCTGCCCAAAGTATATGGGAACCCAGAGTGTCAGAGGTCTCGGGGGGGCTTGCAATGTCAGGGCCACCACTGGGGACAAGCAACGTCCAGCACTCCTTGCAGGGGTAGCGCTGCACAACACTTTTTTTTTTAAATTCTATTTCCTGGAGATTTATAAAGTGATGGAATATAAATGATTCCAATAAAGAGAAATGAGTTCCATCCATGTAGAGAATAGTTCCATTCATTCCTGGGGGTGGGGGGGGGGGATTCATTTTCTTTCTGGTAACATTCTTCTCTTCTTCTACAGATTGTCCTGATAATCACCTGACAGACAGTTCCTGCCCCCACCTGGCATCTGGAATAAGAAATAACCTGACACTGAGGACACTGGACCTGACTGATAACAATCTGGAGGGTCCTCATTTCGGGGATCTGATGGCGGCTCTGACAACAAGCCGGATAGAGGGATTACAGTGAGTATAACAGGACTGACTGAGACAATCATATTCTGGGACAGATTTATATTCACATTACATAAATAAAATAAATGTACAATAAATGCATTCTAACCTGACAACCTTTATGTTCATTAGAAAGGCCAATGTCAGAATGTGGTCTAATTCTTGAATCTGATCAGTCTGTTATCAGCCATTAAATAGTCTTTATCCTAAAACCGTATTATGATCAGGGTAGTCTTATCCAGCGGGCACCACCCGGGGCCCCCAGGTGCACATGGGGCTCTATGAGGGCTGGTCAGATCTAGAGGGGTGCTGCTGGCAGTGCTGAGGTGGCATGGTGAACTGCACTGCACTGTCTGCACAATTTTTGACTGTAGTTTTTCTGTTAGCAGCCTGCAGTGAGTTGTCGTCATTGCTGCTGTTCTCGGTGGCAGTGGCGCCATCTCCACCCAGCTGGGAGTCAATGGCTGAGAGAAGGAACACTGTCACGGTGCTGTCTGTGGCACATGGCAGAGTGAGAGGACTGACCTATGAGTGCAGGGCAGCTATCTAGTACTGGGCAGTTAAAGAACAGTCCACAGCAGCGGAAACTGGCAGATATAATGAGTGGTGACAGCGGTGAAGCAATTGAGGCACCTGGTGTACCAGCGATTCTGACTGAAAGCAATTGCAGCTTCACCAGAGAGAACAGGCAGACCTAGCTACATACACTCACCGGCCATTTTATGAGGTCCACCGTGCTAGTCCCGGGTTGGACCCCCTTTTGCCTTCATTCTTCGTGGCATAGATTCAACAAAGTGTTGGATACATTCCTCAGATTTTGCTCCATAGTGACATGATAGCATCACACAGTTTCTGCAGATTTTGTCGGCTGCACATCCATGAACCACTGAACCATTGATACAAGGCAGGAATTGCTCCACCACACCATGACACCTCCAGTCTGAACCATTGATACAAGGTAGGAATGGATCCACCACACTATGACACTACCCCTACCAGCCTGAACCATTGATAGAAGGCAGGATGGATCCACCACACCATGACACCACCACCAGCCTGGAACCATTGATACAAGGCAGGATGGATCCACCATACCATGGCACCACCACCACCCACCAGCTGAACTGTGAATACAAGGCAGGATGGATCCACCACACCATGATGACACCACCACACCAGTCTGAATTGTGGATACAAGGCAGGATGGATCCATGCTTTCATGTTGTTTACGCCAAAATTCCTGGCCCTACCTCTGAATGTCGCAGCTAACATCCAGACCCATCAGACTAGGCAAAGTTTTTCAATCTTCTATTGTTCAGTGTTGGTGAGCTGTGCGAATTGTAGCCTCCATTTCCTGTCATTAGCTGACAGCAGTGTCCCGGTGTATGTCTTCTGCTGCTGTAGTCCATCTGCTTCAAGGGTTGGACGTGTTGTGAATTTCAGAGATGGTATTCTGCATACCTTGGGTGTAACGAGTGGTTGTTTTGGTTGGAGATCAATATAAAAAGGCAACAATAAACTCAGTCTGCTGCCATCCTTCTCTGATATTAACAAGGCATTTTTGCTCCACACAACTGCCATTATTTTCTCTTGGCTGGATATTTTCTCTTATTTTATTTTTTTTCGGACCATTCTCTGTAAACCCTAGAGATGGTTGGCGGGAAAATCCCAGTAGATCAGAATACTCAGATCAGCCCAATCAACCATGCCACGTTCAAAGTCACTTCAAATCCCAATTTCTTCCCCTTTCTGATGCTCAGTTTGAACTTCAGCAAGTTATCTTCACATTGTCTAGAGGCCTAAATGCATCGAGTTGCTGCCATTGTGATTGGCTGATGATCAATTTGGTGTTATCAAGCAATTGAAACAGGTGGACCTCATAAAAGTGGCGGTGAGTGTATATCCCAGACGGAATGGGGGTGAGAGTAAGGTACCTGATCCTCAAAATCTTTTCTCTCCTTGCAAACACTCATGTGGCTTATATGTGCTGTTCATCACCCCCCCCCCCATACTGACTCTCAGGCAATGAACCTCTGTGGTGCTTGGATGCTAGGGCAGGAATGTGCTTATCTACTCCACTTCAGTGAACACATGTAGGCCTGCCTGGAGAACGGTTTTTTTTTAAAAATAAAAAAAAAAAAAAAAAATAAAATATAAAAAATAACCCTTTTACAGCTTAACATTTGCGCACTGTTTGCTTTCTGGTGCGAATGGCATTTAACACCTTTGCTTCTGCTATGGTTAACCCTACCCCTTCATAGCTGAAACATTAATACAACCTCCTGCGCTTAGATGTGGCGCTTAAGAGTGTGATGATTTGCCTGTCTGGCTACTGGATATGGCGATAAAGGTCTTGCTGCCCTCTCAGGACTGTGGGTGCCCTCGCATGATAAAATTGATGATAAATGAAGAGGGTGCACCGATTAGTGCATTACCAAAAAACAACATTTTTATTAAAATCATTTTAAAAAGTAGGTCATTGCTTTACACATGTAATATACAGGCATATAGTAGGATGCAGATGAGACCACCTCTAGGACCATGGTACCCAGTCTAGTGGTAATGGGGAAGTCCTCCACAGTGTCCTATGGCTTACGTGTTTTTGAGTGGGACAGAACCCTCTTCTGCTTCAGCTGGGTAGGTGCCAGATGTCAATCCAGGAGAGTTGGCCAGCCGACAGCACCAGAGCCTGAGGTCGTTGCTTCAGCCTCGGGATTCCCTCCTGCATCTTTCTTTACAGGGAAAGCAGTCCTCCTAGTTGGCCTATTTCCTTCCTTAGAACATCTCAAAACAAACATTACACTATAAAAAAAAAAAAAAAAAAAAAAAAAAAAAAAAAAAAAAAAAAAAAACAACACCCACCAAAAACAAAAAAAAAAAAAAAAAAAAAATTGGGCCAAACGTATTGGGCCAGCCCTCCAAATCATGTGATTCAGGTGTCCAATCCCCTCCATGGACAAGGTGTATACAATCAAGCCCCTAGGCAATGCAGGGACCTGCTTCTACAAACATTGGTGAAAGAATGGGTCGCTCTCAGGAGCTCAGTGACTCCAAGTGTGGTCCTGTGATTAGGAGGCCTCCACTGGGGCGAATAAGTCCATCCGTGACATTGTTCCTGGCTACTAAATATTCCACGCTCAACTGTTAGTGGGATTAGAAACAAAGTGGAAGCAACTGGGAACAGCAACTCAGCCACCAAGTGGTAGGCCATCGTCACATGACAGGGCTTGGTAGTGGGGTCAGCGCATGCTGAAAGTGCACAGTTCGTAGAGAGTCGCCAATTGTCTGCTAGAGTCATAGCTAAAGAGCCTCCAAACCTTTGGTGGTGGCCTTCAGATGAGCCCAACAACAGTGCGTAGAGAGCTTCATGGAATGGGTTTTCCATGGCCGAGCAGCTGCATCCAAAGCCTTACATCACCAGTGCAATGCAAAGCGTGGGGATGTCGTGGTGTAAAGCACGCCGCCACTGGACTCTAGAGCAGGGGAGACATTTCGCTGGAGTGGACCAATCACGTTCTCTGTCTGGCACAATCAGATTGATATGGTGTGTCTAGGTTTGGTGGTTGCAGGAGAACGGTACTTGCCTGACTGCATTGTGCCAAGTGTAAAGTTTGGTGGAGGGGGGGATTATTGGGTGGGATTGTTTTTCAGGGTTGGGCTTGGCCCCTAGTTCTTTCCAGTGAAGGAACTCTTAAGGGCGACATTTTGGACAATTTCATGCTCCCAACTTTGTGGGAAGAGTTTGGGGATGGGCCCCTTCTGTTCCTACATGGCTGTGCACCAGTGCACAAAGCAAGGGTCCATAAAGACATGGAGGAGCCAAGTTGGGGGTGGAAGGAACTTGACTGTCTCTGCACAGAGTCTGAACCTCAACCCCTAGAACACCTTTGGGATATGAATTAGAGCGGAGACTAGCGAGCCAGGCCTCCTCCCCGACATCAGTGCCCTGACCTGACAATGTGCTTCTGGAAGAATGGTCCTAACGTCTCTATTCCGCAGGTTACACTGATCCTTTTAGATCCATCGTTGTCTATCGCGATTATTTCACTTTGGAACCAGCAATCGGAAATTCTTTAGGTTTACATCTTATTTTATTTATATTTTTTTTCACCTTCAAAATGAATGTAGCTGGTAACCGTTACCCACCTGTGCCTTATTCCATCAGTAGGGACTTGTACCTTGTGGGGTGAAGCACAGAGGTCAGACTGTTGATACAACCTGTGGATTGCCGCCGTTTATGTCCAAGGTCTCCGCTTCTATTTGTGGGTTATGCTGATGTTTTGGGGGCAACTTAGACAACATTGTCTGATATTAATGACGGTGGAGGGGTATGTTCTTTTGCTTGTTGTATTCAATGTTGTGATATTTTACAGAAGTAAAGATATTCAATATTTAATTTGAATGCATTAATAACTACGCCACGTGTGTCCTACCCCAGCATCTTATAGCTGGAGTCTCTTTTCTGGTGTCCTAATCGTTGGTATACAGTCTGGGCTGTAGGGACCCCACTAATTCAGCGGAGTAAGTGGCACCTAAAGATTATTCTGAACCCTTTTATTTTATGATTTCTTATAATCTCTGTAGCGGTGATGATTCTGTTACTCAATATCTCACACAAATTCTCTGAGATATTGAGAGACCAGATTTTTGAGTGAACAGCGAAGCATGCAGAAGAGGCCTTTGCCCTGCCTCTTCATGATCCATCTAATCCCTGCTCTGCCTGCCCCATCAGCCCTGCCCATACTCCAACCCTGATGTGCATACGCCGTGTGCATGTACACACACCCACCACTGTGCTTTCTCTGTGTATGTTGACCATTTGCCCTCGGGTTTTAGACTCCCCCCCCCCCCCTCCCCAACCAGGCCATTTTGTGTTATTCGCCTCTGTGCTACTTTAGCTGGCCGTTGCGCGGTCATGCAACACTTTACCCAAATGAAATTTACATATTTTTCTTCACACAAATAGAACTTTTGGTATTTGATTGTCTCTGGGTTTTTTTTTTTTTTGTGTGACCAAAAATAAAAAAAAAAAAAAAAACAGTATTTTTTACTTTTTGCTTTAAAACATATGAAATAAAAAAAAATAACTTTTCTTCACAAATTTAAGCAAAAATGTATTCTGCTACATCATGTCTTAGGTTAAAAAAAAAAGTCCTAAAAAGCGTATATAAATTAGTTTGCATGAAAATTATAGCGTTTACAAATATATATATATTTGAATTTGTATTTATTATTTTTTATACTAGAATTGGTGGCGATCAGCGACTTATAGCAGTACTGGGATCGTACGACGGGTATTCTGACACTGGGTGGGAACTAACTGCCCACCCCCAGGGACACAAATACAGGGATCAGTGCTAATAAAAAGGACTGACACTGTACAAATGACACTGGGCAGGAAGGGGTTAACATCTGGGGCCATCAAAGGGATAAGTGTGTGTCAGGGAGTGATTTAACTATGTAGTTTGTGGTTTTTTAGTAGGGGATGTGCTGGTTTTTATCTCCTTTTATCAGAACAAACTGTCAAAAGTCCTGCGTAAACAAGGTAATGGAACTTTATAAAGGTGGAAAAGGACATAAAAAGATGTCCAAAGCCTTAAATATGCCAATCAGTACTGTTAAATCACCTATTAAGAAGTGGAAAGTTCGGGAATCTCTGATACCAAGCCAAGGTCAGGTAGACCAAAAAAGATTGCAGCCACAACTGCCAGAAGAATTGTTCGGGATACAAAGGGAAACCCACACGTAACCACAAGAAAAATCCAGGCTGCTCTGGAAAAAGTGTGATTGTTTTGAAGGAGCACAATATGATGACACTTCAACAAAAATGAGCTGCGTGGTGGAGGGGGCCAGAAAGAAGCCTTTTTATGTCCTTTTCCATCTTTATAAAGTTCCATTACCTTGTTACGCAGGACTTTTGACAGTTCTTTTCTGATCCCCATGGCTCAGTATCTAGCCTAGTCAGTGCTTCCACGTAAGAGCTAACAAACTCATTGATTATTTATACACTGACATTAATTGCAATTTAAAAAGCCACAGATGTGGGACATTAACCTCTAATTGGCATTTTAACCCGTGTGTGTCACCTTGTGCGTCTGTACCAAGGCCAAACATTCCAGGGGAGGGAAACTTTTGATTCAGGGGGCGGAGACTTCTGATCCGGCCATTTGGATGATTTCGGTTATCATTTATGATTTAAAAAGGAGCCAAACTGTGTGATAATAAATGGCTTCATATGATCATCATCCTTCAATAAAAGAGCATTTTGTGGCATTTTCAGTCATATTTTCAATATCAATGCCAAAGTTTCACAATTTCTGCCAGAGGATGCAAACATTTGAGTACAACTGTATGTCACCTCCTCACCCCCTAAATGCTGCATCACTGCCACTACAACCATGTGCACGCAGGTGCGGGGAAGCTGCATTTTATTGGAATGGGTTGAATTCGGTGAGTAGTAGACTTTACGTTGTTTAACCGATTCCTTACCGCCCTATAGCAGAAAGAGAGGCCCCCCCCTTTTTTTTTTTTTCCCGCCAAAAGTTTTTGGAAAATGCAGAATGAAATTGTATTTATTTTTTTACAGAGTTGTCAATAAGATATTTGTAACACACACACCATAGACACACTTAGAATTGCACCCCACAATACATTCTGCTACTCCTCCCAAGTATTGTGAAACCATGTGAGACTTTTTTTTTTTTTTTTAAATCGCCAACCACAGAGAGGCCCCCAAATCCAAGGAATACCTTAAGGCTTTCACAGGATATATATATTACCCATCTAATTTCCTGACTAATCACATTGGTGGAGGCCCTGGAGCACCAGGACAGTTTGAACACCCACAAAATGACCCAGTTTGGCCTTGGCTGTAGAATGTCCACATCCAGAGTGTCCCACTCTCAACAGTACTCCTCAAACACCTCCAGATGAAGGGTCATTTCCCCAGGAGAACACTGCTGAGGGCTTCCACTCTTGCAATGTGAACAGCGGACAGAGTAAGAACGTGAAGCTCTGCCCAAGACAGGATGAGATCCACTTCCTCATGGGCCACCCAACTTCTGGTGCCTCATTGATGATTTATATATGCCAAGGCATTGTCTGACTGGATCCGTACAGGGAGACCCCACAGATGTGATGACCACTGCTGGAGAGCCAGGTGAGTTTTCTGCAGTTCCAAAATGTTGATGGAGAAGGACCTTGATCCATCGCATTCGTCTGCTGACGGTAGGTACCCTCTGGGCGTCCACACAGAGTTTTTCCAGCTGACCCCAGTAGCACAGAGGACTGCATACATTCAGAGGCAGTGTTGGGGGGAACATCAGGATCTATAACCCTGCCTGTCACTCAGCTCTGCAGTTGATTGAAAACTAAACAAAAAAATCTGAAAATATGAGAACATTTTTCAAAGTCCTACCTCTTGAGCACTAGGTGTGTTGCAGATGACAGGGGTTGGCCAACAGAAGGGCCACCCCTGGGTTGTGCCTTAATCTATTGGTTGTACTTAGCGTCTTGCTCTTGCAGGTGGCACAAAACCCAATGGTCTCCTTTTGATCCGCCTGTGTCCTTCAATGAACAAAAGAGACGTTTTCGATGAGATAAACCGAAAGAACAAATTAGTTCTAAATGGATGCAGACCCTGCAACTTTCCTCATTAGAACACTGCAAATGGATAAGCTGATTAAAATTTAAAAAGTCACTCCCATCATATTTACTCCGCTCACAACACATTTTCTTCAGAGCAGAGACAGGTAACAAAAGGTTGAACAAATCTGTGCAATGTATATACAGTGGATATAAAAAGTCTTCCCACCCCTGCGGGGGATGACACTAGTCCTGTGCATGCGCAGGAGGCCATCATCCCAGCACTGTAAGCCGAGCATGTGCAGCTCAATTTGCAGCGCCGGAGAAGACAGCAAGCAGCCAGGGAGGGGCATTTTATTGCAGAATCTTCTCGCGGTGGAACTTTTAACGATTTAAAAAAAAAAAAACCCATCCCCTGTTATAAATTTAAAAATAAATGATCACATTTACACTTGTGTCTTAAATAAAATAGCGCCGTTTCCTTTATTTACAAATCTCCAAAACTTCTCCAGCATTGGACAAGATCTAAGTAAAGAAAACAGGGGATGCTGGGTAATGGGAGGGGCTGGGAAGGGAGGCTGGGAATTCAGGGACAGGCAGGGTGAAGGGTTCAGGAAAGTCAGAGGGTGATGTTGTCCGGTCACCACACTACACAAGAGGAAAGAATCCGGCCACAGTCCGGTCAGGTCAGCCAGAGGCCTGGAAGATGGACGTCTGTGGTCAGGAGGTCACATACTACACACCAAGACCACACAGCACAAGATGGATTCCACCTTCTCTCTTCCAGCCTTGGATGGACAAGCTCCTTCTGTTTTCTGACACCGCAGTCCTCCACCATCATAGACGTAGGTGGCTGCGGGGCTTTTCATACAAGACACATCAAAAAGAACTTTATTTTCTTGTAAGAGCTTGCCGGTTTAGATGTTTTTCTCTGTTTTGGTTCCATTTTCAGGCCATTTCCAAGTCGCCACCATATTGAAAGCCACAGCTCATAAGGGAGGATGAAGGATGTGATTTGCTTTTGTATGAACAGTCATCACCTCGGACTGTCAGCCCATCTCCTTCCACTGCTTGTAGAAATCTAGAACATTCTTGATCTCGATGTTGGAGCTGACGGCGGCCTGCAAGGCGGACTGAAGACAGAGGCAAAACGTTACCTTTCATATATTTAGCAGAGAATCCACCAGAACTGCACTCGCCGAGTCAGTAAATGTTTTCTGAGATGGAAACCTGCAGGTCTGGATGTTAAACTTGTGTTTTCATATATACAAACTAACCACGGGTGTGATCAGGTGGACGCAGGAGCCGAAGATCTCCTGGACCATCTATAAACCAAAAATTGGATCCAATTCTTTTTGATTTATAGCACGTGTCAAACACGGGGCCCGCAGGCCAAATACAGACCGCCAGGTCATGTCCTGTGGCCCTCGCACCTCTCCTGCAGCTGTGGTACCCTTCATCTCTGCCCCACCTTGTCTCAACAGTCAGCAGCAGAAAGGAGGACAGAACTCCTCCAGATCCTGTGCAGCTGTGGAGTGGCTCGTCTCTGCAATGAGGACAGAACTTCTCCTCCAGATCCTGTACTTCTCTGTGCATCTACGGAGAGGCTCGTTTCTGCTAGGAGGACAGAACTCCTCCTCCAGATCCTAAACTTCTCTGTGCAGCTGCGGAGAGGCTCATCTCTGCAAGGAGGTCTGTCCTTAATGCAGAGACGAGCCTCTCCACAACTGCACAGAGAAGTACAGGATCTGGAGGAGTTCTGTCCTCATTGTGCAGTTGTGGAGAGGCTCGTCTCTGCAATGAGCACAGAACCCCTCCTCCAGATCCTGTACTTCTCTGTGCAGCTGTGGAGGGGCTTGTCACTGCAAAGATGAGAACAGAATTCCTCCAGATCCTGTACTTCTCTGTGCAGCTGTGGAGAGGCTCATCTCTGCCCCCATCTCTGCAGTGAGGATGACAGAACACCTCCTACAGATCCTGCACCTCTCTGTGCAGCCACAGCACCTCCTTATTTCCACATCTCCTCCCTCAGCATTAAGCAGACTCCAAGCCCTACTCTGGTCCTCCTCTAGATCCTGCACTTTCTGCTTCCCAGCAACACAAGGTAAGGGGGGTGCACTGTGATGCATTCCTGGCTTCTGATGGTGGGGGGGAGGGGGGCTCTTGGGATCTCATGTAAGAGGAGGTGGGGTGCTCTGGACATCTAGTATTACAGATACAACCGCCCCTTTGAGTGCCACCATAATGCTGATGCGGCCAATGACTGACACCCCCAATTTATAGGATGGCCATCATTGTCCCAATACGGCACACAAGTGACCACCTTTTACAATCCACTGCAGGAACATCTAGATTTCCTGGAATTCCCTCTGGAGTACAGATTGAGGAGTTCCTATGTCTGCTTATCAGATCGGATCTCATCTGACCTGTAATCTATCCTTGCTGTAGGGCCCCCTATGGTAAATGCCCAATACGCGGATAAGGACCAACGTGTAATACTTCCCTTACTCCTGCCTCTGGCAGGCCCCCTCTTATCTGTGCGACTGTCCCCCGACGCCTGTTAAATATTGCACTCAGGGGCCATGCTCGCACGATGACGTCATTAAAGTGGAACTAAAGGCATAAATACCTTCGTTCCAACTGTGTGACACCCACGAGGTCCCTCGCTGACATTGGCATCTTCTCCATGGCTTCTTCAGCTATCTTGGTTGGCCAGCAAGGGACGACATCATTCCCACGCTCAGGACCAGGGGTGGACTGACAACTCATGGGACTCCCGGGCAATAGGGGATCATGGGGCCCCTGTGTCCTTGCCCAAACTCAAAGAAGCCTATGAAAAAGGTACCAGGGGCATCTCATGGGGCCCCCTACTGACCCCGGGCCCTCGGGCAGTGTCCGAGTTTCCAAATGGTCAGTCTGCCCCTGCTCAGGACTGTAGTCATCCCGGCACATAGGCACTTTGTCTCCTTTGCAATAAAGACCCTCCTGACTATTTGGAAGTTTATCATCATCAGTTCCACTTTAACCACTTCCCGTCCAGCTCATGTACATAAACGGCCGGACAAGAGCAGTGCAGGGGCAGGTTGCTGTTCATAAACGGCGCCCATCATTTTAGCCTGTGTGAGCTCCCTGGAAGAGCGCGGCACCGCGATCCGGAGCCCGCGACACAGCGGAACACTGATCACTGTACAGGACCTCTGTGTGAGGTCCCGATCATGTTATCACTGATTGGCCAATCAGTGATCACATGAATAGTAATAAGCAAGATGTCATTTCTGTTATCATTGCTTACTACGTGTGAAATCTGTGAATGATCACAGAGATCACATGGTACAGGGCCATTCACAACAGCCTTGTACCATGTGACAAGCTGTGACCAAAATGGTGCCAGGTCTGTGCAACCAGCATCTTCCTTTTTCCTCCAGTACACCGAGAAAAGGGAAGGCCGCTATTAACAGGCAATATTCCACTATACAACCCCTTTCCTCCTCTTCAGAGGAAGTAAAGAACCTTCAGTGTGTAGCTACCCCTCCCAATTACTTACCTGAACCCTTATCCAGCAATGTGCATGAGAGCAGAGGCTCTCCCGGGACTCTTCCTCCTCACTGGCTGTGACACAGCAGCAGGAGCGATTGGCAGCCTCCACAGCCAGTGAGGAGGGGGCGGAACTGAACCATGCTCTGTGTCCCACAGACACACCAAGGCAGCTCAGGAGTGTGCATGCACGAGTGCCCCCACAACAAGCAGTTTGTTGTGGGGGCAACTTGGCAACGGAGAGGGGTCAGAAGTGTCAGCGGGGAACCTGAGAAGAGGATTGGGGCTGCTCTGTGCAAAACCACTTTAAATCCACAAAGCGGGGGAGGGGGTAATAAACACACCTGCACGGCAGAGGAGAAACATTCGGGTTCCTCGATCTGAAAGCCGGTTATAATGGTGACCATCCCAGCCGTCTCTTCTTCATTGTTGCCTTGTGACACCGTCAACTGCTTACAGCTGTCCAGAATCTTATAGAGATGCCTGTAGGGGGAAGAACACAATATCAGAATACATACCCAAAACACACGTCATGTCCATGACACCAAAACCTCTCTGTGAACAAGCCGTGTTTTCAAAATTGTACAGCAGGCTCTGGGCTTTATTGGATAAGTGATCTGGGTGGGTGTAAAGCCTCCTGATCACTTCTACAGTGTGATGTGTGTGAAAGATGCAAAAAAAATGTCCCAGGGTCACCAACAACCATGGCGAAGTGTGTGAAAGAAGAGGACCAGAAGCGTAAAAAGTTGTGAAAGCCGCTTGTTCCATTTCCACAGTCCAATCACGGTGGAGCCATGAAGTCTGGGACAGGTGTTCATTGCCTGAGTGTTAACGGCATTACAACGGCCATACATTTCATGACACCGCAATCGGATTAAAGCACCTGTTGTTGATTCAATTCCCTACCACAGCCCCTCCCCTCCTTGCAGGTCATAGCCCTCGCCTCTTCTGGGAATGTCTAAATTACTGTCTGTGCTGGCCCAGCTCCTTTGCCTCTCCCGTCAACTACATATTTTATGTAGCAACCGGGGGAGACATGCAAAGGGAAATACTACAGAGCAGTGCTCTCCAAACTGTGGCCCCGGGGGGCCAGATGTAGCCATTTGCTTACCTTCATTCGGCCCTTGGAGCACCACTCCTCCCACTGATAAAAGACACTATTCCTCCCACTGACACACCAAACCATGAGGCATATTTCCTGCAAGTGACACCAACAATGGGACACTTTCTATTTCTGACAACAGTGCAGGACTCTTCTTCCCATTGACTCTTCTTCTCATTGATGGGGCACTATTCTTCCCCCCGATACTGAAGATGGGGAATGTTTACACTCACTGATACCAGGACAATTTCTGCTACTACTGGCCACAGTCCGGCCCCCCCCCCTAAAGTCTAAGGGACAGTAAACTGGCCCTTTGTTTAAAACATTTGGAGACCCCTGCTATAGAGTGTCACTTCAGTAACAGCTCTGACTTTGATGGGGCTGCTGACATCAAATCCAAGATGGCGACACCCAGAAGCAGGCTCAGAGCGCTTTTGGATGTCTACACAAGGCTTTTACAAGTAAATAACAAACATAAAATACATTAAATGCAAATACAATCTTAGGGGATGAGGTATGTTGAACTAGTCTGGTGACAGTTCTATTTAAAGCAAGCTCTCAATGACCTTTTAGCTGCTTGTACTGTGGAGTAATTCATTCTCAAATATTACAATAAAGTTTCTAAAGCTGGCTTCATTATTTAATATTTTATAAATACTGGCGTGTTTTTACATTTGAGATTTTTGCTCTCTATAGAAAATAAAGGTGGAGGAACTGTTATTTCAGTGACTGTACTCTTTGAAGATGAATTTCTCCACAATGCCTACAGTTACAGAGGCAACATTTTAAAGCGCTCTACAATTTTAGCAACCCAATGGATGTACAGAGCATACTCTCTGGAATAGGAAGACCTTACGTCAAAAGCCAATAAATGTGGACAATAAGGGTGAAGGTGTCAAATCTATGGCCTTCACACATGACCGAGGTGGCGGGTTGCTGGAGGTCTATCCTCCAGGAGGCCCTCTTACCAGGCATCAACGTCCTGCCGCTTTAATTTATTCCGCTCAAAACTCTTCCCAGCTTCCTTCTGGCAGCGGATATACCTGAAACAAACAGAGATTAGCAGAACTGTTTCGTCAGATGACCCCTTGCCAACGTCACATGACCCCCACCCTTGCCAATGTCACATGACCCCCACCCTTGCCATACACTAGTTAACACTCACCGATTTCCTTTTTTTAAACTCCGCCTCTAAGTATCGGATTCCGTCTCGAGCTCCAGCGTTTTCCTTCTTTAGAAAGTCCAATCCATCAATAACTAAAGAAGGAAGCCATGATCAGTACCGATAGATCAGTTCAGCCATTTATAGATTGGTTTGTCTATGGTCTTAAATAAAACGAGTTTTTGGAATCCTCACCCAATCACCGACAACCAATAAACTCACCAGTCCATATCATCTCATACCTGTCTGCGGGATGATAATGATGAAACGCCCGCTGTTTGCCAGCTGTCGGATGATGCCCAGATGTTGGCAGAGCGCCTGTGTGTCCGGGATGAGGTATGGAGACATGGCGGACTGAGATTTGGGCTGCTGGAGGGTGCCCTCTAGCTGTGACACTTCCAACTGCAAACAGACAGGTTCGGGTCAGTACCACAGTTTTGGATGTAAATGAATGTAAAATTCTAGCCTTTATATTGCTTAGTAGCTCGTATGGGCGTTAGCTGCATACAGTAAGTGGCGCTGTGTTCCGGCAGCCGCATGGGCTACTTCCCTCAGCTGCTGGAATTAAACACAGAGTTGAGCCGAGTGTTTCTCCACAGGGGCAGACTGACCATTTGGAAACTCGGGCACTGCTCGAGGGCCCGGGGACAGTAGGGGGCCCCATGAGATGCCCATGGTACCTTTTTCATAGGCTTTTTTGAGTTTGGGCAAGGACACAGGGGCCCCATGATCCCCTATTGCCCGGGGGCCCCATGAGTTGTCAGTCCACCCCTGTTTCTCCACCATTCAGGAGAAGCCTTGAATTTTCATCACTGAGTTTACAAAGCTTCCTCAGATTGGCTGAAGTGGAAATCGTGATGGCATTCACCTGCCTCTCCACCTCGGGCAAATCAGAGGAAGACGCTTACCAAGTGATGTGTGTGCCTGCAGCGATGGAGCTTACAGAAAGCAGCCTTCCGAGCTCTAACAGATTTAGAGATGCCGCTGTCCCTCAGAACCTGGTCTTCAGCGGCCGTGCTGTCAAAGCCAGTGAATGTGAAGCAGGATGGTAAATCGGCCCGAGACAGAAGATCTGGATGATTTGGGAGAGCCCATAGAGTGTGTCTGCCAGGAGACTTAGAGTTGTGCAGGCCATAGATGGGTCGAAAATCGTCCGATTTTTCGGCCAAAAAAAAAAAAAAAACGGCCGATTTTCGTATCGTTAGTGAGTTAATTGGTCGGCCATTTTTCAGGATTTTGCCACTTTTTTTTTTTAATTGGTAAAGTTGGAAGAAAATCGGCCAATTTTCGCAGCAATGATGGGCAAATCGGAGAGAAGAAGAGAAAGAAGGAGGAAGAAGAAAGAAGGAGGAAGGAAGGAGGGAAGAAGACGGAGGAAGACGGAGGAGGAAGACGACGGAAGACGGGAAGACGACGGAAGACGGAGGAAGACGACGGAAGACGGAGGAAGACGACGGAAGACGGAGAAGACGACGGACGGAGGACGACGGAAGAAGAAGACGACGGAAGACGGGAAGACGACGGAAGACGGAGGAAAGACGGAGGAACGGAAGACGGAGGAAGACGACGGAAAGACGACGAGGAAGACGACGGAAGACGGAAGACGGAAGACGGAGGAAGACGACGGAAGACGACGGAAGACGACGACGGAAGACGACGGGAAGACGACGGACGACGGACGGAAGGAAGACGGAAGACGGAGGAAGACGACGGAAGGAGGAAGACGACGGAAGACGGAGGAACGGACGACGGAAGACGGAGGAACGGACGACGGAAGAGGAGGAAGGAGGAAGAAGAAAAAAAGAAGGAAAAAAAAAGGAAGTAAAAGAGTAAGAAGGAAGAGGAAGGAAGAAAGAAAGAATTCCAGTCTGCTATTATATTTGACATGAAAAAGTATTGCGGTTGCAACATTGTATCTATTTGTATCGGAATAAAAACATCTGTATCCGAAATGGATACAAATAGATACAATGTTGCAACCGCTATACTTTTTAATCTCAACTATAATAGCGGAACTCTCTGCAGAGACAGAAGTAAATGCCGGCCGTAGACAGGACGAAAATCGGCCGTTTTTTTTTTTTACCGTTGGTGGGAACGTCGACCTATTGAACGACTGATTTTTCGTTTTTTTCCGGTTTTTTCGACCAGTCTATAGCCTGCATTGGAGTACAACATCCTCCTGGGCCACTTTGAAGCTGTGAGGAGCAATGGAATGTTCCAAAGTTTCAATGTTGCAAAGTAGATGAAGGAGGAGTCTCAGGGGGGACTGTTTATCCATGGGACAGGAAGTGAAGGGAAGTCTCCGCAATGGGACATACATGGCAAACAAAAAAAAAAAAAAAAATCTGGAAGGGGTTATAACCCTCCATTACTTTATCCAAAATTAAAAAACAAAACAAAAAACCTTTTGCCTATAGTTCTATGTTAACCACTTGCCGCCAACCACTGTAGAAATACGGCGGCACGGCTGGGCAAAACCACGTTTTAAAACGTGTGTTTTTAAAACAGGTAGGGGGCGCGCGCGAGGCGCGCCACCCCCCTACCTGTCCCGCCGATCACGGCCGCGGATGTCAGTCGCTGGGTCACAGCAGGTCGTTACCGGCTATGTCCCGGCGATTAGCGGCAATCAGTGACAGAGAGCACAGCTGCAGTAGCTGTGCTTTCTGTCAGTTCCCTGACAGCTCCAGGACACGCTGATTGGGACAGAAGAGTTTCTCTGTCCCGATCAGCGGTGTTCCCTGCAGTACACACCCCACCCCCTAGTAAAACACTCCCCTCACACAGTTAACCCTTTCACTGAATAATAAAGTTAACCCCTTCCTCCCCCAGTGCCATTAGTACAGTGTCAGTGGTTTTTTTTTGCACTGATCACTGTATTGGTGTCACTGGGGATGTCAGTGACCCCAAGTCAGTTCCCCCCCAGTGTCAGAATGTCCGCCGCAGTCCCGCCATAAGTCGCTGATCTCCACCATTATTAGTATTAAAAAAAATTAAAAATCCCAGTATCTTTCCCGCCATTTGTAAACGCTGTAACTTTCACGTAAACCAATTAATTTACACGTATTTTTTTTTTTTTTTTAGCAAAGACATGTCGCAGAATGCATTTTGGCCAAAATTTGTGACTAAATTTGATTTTTTACATTTTTTTTTTTTTACTGGACATGTTTTATAGCAAAAAGTCCAAAATATTGTTTTTTTCCTCAAAATTGTCAGCCTTTTTTTTTTTTTATAGCGCAAAAAATAAAAACCGCACAGGCGATCAAATGCCACCGAAATAAAGCTCAATTTGTGGGAAAAAAAATTATGTAAATTTCATGTATGTAACGTATTGCATGACCGCTAAACCGTTAAACTAGCACAGCGTTGTATAGCAAAAAAAATGTCGTAAATTGCAGTATCTATACCAGGGGTGGGCAAACTTTTTGACTTGAGGGCCGCAATGGGTTCATATATTGGACCCGGGGGCCGGACCAAGAGTAGATGAAGGATGTGTATAGTGTGTCATCCATAGTAAGTATTAGTAATAATTCCCCCATAGTAAGCATAGTAATTCATCCCCCATATAGTAATTCATCCCCCATATAGTAATTCATCCCCCCCATAGCAATACATCCCCCATAGCAATACATCCCCCATAGTAATTCATCCCCCCTATAGTAATTCATCCCCCCTATAGTAATTCATCCCCCTATAGTAATTCATCCCCCCCATAGTAATTCATCCCCCATATAGTAATTCATCCCCCATATAGTAATTCATCCCCCATAGTAATTCACCCCCCATAGTAATTCATCCCCCATATAGTAATTCACCCCCCATATAGTAATTCATCCCCCATATAGTAATTCATCCCCCACCCCCCATATAGTAATTCACCCCCCATATAGTAATTCACCCCCCATATAGTAATTCATCCCCCATATAGTAATTCATCCCCCATATAGTAATTCATCCCCCATAGTACTATTCCCCCCCAAGTAGTAAGCCAAGTCCCCCCTGTGTCAATTCACTTACCTTTGCTCCGCGCGTTCCTCTCGCCGTGTTCCCGCGCCGTTCCAGTCTTCAGGGCGGACTGTGAGAGAAGCCTAGCTCCCCTCACGTTCGTCACGCTGCCCCGCCTACACACATCCTGACAGCCATCCTGACAGTATCAGGCTCCGCGGGCCGTAGTTTGCCCATTGCAGTATCTATACCATAGTTTGTAGACGCTATAACTTTCACACAAAGCAATCAATATACACTTATTGGGATTTTTTTTACCAAAAACATGGAGCAGAATACATTTTGGCCTAAATTTATAACTATCTTTGAGTTTACTATATATTTTTTTATAGCTGAAAGTAAAAAATATAGTTTTTCTTCAAAATTTTTGGTCTTTTTTTGTTTATAGCGTGAAAAATAAAAAGCGCACAGGTGATCAAATACCACCAAAAGAAAGCTCTATTTGTGTGAAAAAAAGGACGTAAATTTCGTTTGGGTGCAGCATTGCATGACCGCGCAATTATCAGTTGAATTAGTGCAGCGCCGAGTAGCAAAAAGAGGCGTGGTCATTAAGGGGGGTAAATCCTCAGGAGGGGGAGGGGTTAAGGCTTTGAGACCCAGGCTTGCGGTCTATGGTCTGCAGACTATGAACAGGTTGGAGCAGAATCCCTGAAACCATGCTTCCACAGGGACTGGAGCAATGACACCTTGTTCCAGAGGACCCACCAGAGCGGCCCTGAGATCTGCTAATCTGTGCTGTGACACCGTTGGAGTTGATGAGCCGAGGAGGGGGCTAAGAGCAAAAAAACTAGATTGTAGCGGCAGAATAACCCGGCAGTTAATGATTTCCTATGTCCCTCAATGAAAGAAGAGGAAAAGAGAGGTTTATTATTGGGGCTTGCACACACTGTAATAAAGAGAAGTGTAGACAGTTCTAGAAAGTGCCAGTGAACAGCTCTGCCCTCCCCTGGTGGGGGAAGGGAAAGAAGCCCAGAAATGGGCCACCATACAGCATGTGTACCTGGAGTCTCAGCTGGGCCATGTCTCTCATGAGTCTGTTCCGACGAGCTTCCTCCTGCGCCTGGGGGAAGAAAAAAAAAAAAATAAAAAATCAACACATACAAGCGGTCACATCCATAAATCCCACAGAGAACGCTCTAATTTCCTAGTGGATGGGACTGCGACTTTTCCCGACATTGCCATCTCTCTGGATAGAACATGTTTTTGTCTAAAGCAATCCAGAAAAGGTGGGATTTCATAACTTGAACCCTTCAAAACTCTGTCCTCATCACCGCTGACACCAGGGATCGTGTATAACTACAAATCACAACCCTTTAGGCCACGGGTGTCAAACCGGCGGCCCTCCGGCTGCTGCGAAACTACAAGTCCCATGAGGCATTGCGAGGCCGACAGTTACAAACGTGACTCCCAAAGACAGAGGCATGCTGGGACTTGTAGTTTCGCAAAAGCTGGAGGGCCGCCGGTGTGATGGATATGGTAAAATGCCTATTTGGTTTATGTTTTTTTATACATATCTACGTTTATATTTTTATATTTTTAAATGCTTTGTATGAATATATATATATATGTGTTGTGTGTATATCTTTTTCCTGCTGGTCTTTGTGGTACTTTAAGAAATTCTTGCTCAAAAATGTCTGCTCAGCAACCCCTCCCATCGAGTGAAGTTTAAGAACAAAGGAAATATTTCTTTCCAAGATAACCCCTAAGAGAAGATCACGCCTATATTCTAAAGGAAGATTGCTTTCCTGTGAAAATGACCAAAGACTAATATAATGCTAATGCTGCCCTCACATGACCCTTTCATCATCTCGCATATATAAACTCACTTTCTCATTCCAATAAACTAGAAGTTTCACAGACCGACCGCGTGTCAGTGTGAGTTTCTTCATGTGTGCGCACATTCCACAGCTCGATGATTAATTAGGACAGGAACAGATAATCACCAGACACTTAGTCTGAACTAAATCACCGGTTTGACCCCCCCTGCTTTGGGCTATGCTGGGACTTACAGTGCCACAGCCACGGGGTAGGTGCAGTTCTAAAAGCAAAAGTCTATAGAAAAGAAGAATCCACAGCAAGTCACTTATGGACACTGCAAGGAACTGAAGAACTCTGCTGCAAATCCTTAATATATAAAGAGAGAGAGAGATAATGGATGGATGGATGGATGGATAGATAGATAATAGATAGATAGATAGATAGATAATAGATAGATAGATAGATAGATAGATAATAGATAGATAGATAGATAGATAATAGATAGATAGATAGATAGATAATAGATAGATAGATAGATAGATAGATAGATAGATAGATAGATGGATAGATGGATAGATGGATAGATAATAGATAGATAGATAGATAGATAATAGATAGATAGATAGATAGATAGATAGATAGATAGATAGATAGATGGATAGATGGATAGATGGATAGATGGATAGATAATAGATAGATAGATAGATAGATAATAGATAGATAGATAGATAGATAGATAGATAGATAGATAGATAGATAGATAGATAATAGATAGATAATAGATAGATAGATAATAGATAGATAGATAGATAGATAATAGATAGATAGATAGATAGATAATAGGTAGATAGATAGATAATAGATAGATAATAGATAATAGATAGATAATAGATAGATAGATAGATAGATAATAGATAGATAGATAGATAGATAATAGATAGATAGATAGATAGATAGATAGATAATAGATAGATAATAGATAGATAATAGATAGATAGATAATAGATAGATAGATAGATAGATAATAGATAGATAATAGATAGATAATAGATAGATAGATAGATAGATAATAGATAGATAATAGATAATAGATAGATAATAGATAGATAGATAGATAGATAGATAGATAGATAATAGATAGATAGATAGATAGATAGATAGATAGATAGATAGATAATAGATAGATAGATAGATAGATAATAGATAGATAGATAGATAGATAGATAATAGATAGATAGATAATAGATAGATAGATAGATAATAGATAGATAATAGATAGATAATAGATAGATAGATAATAGATAGATAGATAGATAGATAATAGATAGATAATAGATAGATAATAGATAGATAGATAGATAGATAGATAGATAATAGATAGATAATAGATAGATAATAGATAGATAATAGATAGATAATAGATAGATAGATAGATAGATAGATAATAGATAGATAGATAATAGATAGATAGATAGATAGATAATAGATAGATAATAGATAGATAATAGATAGATAGATAATAGATAGATAGATAGATAATAGATAGATAATAGATAGATAATAGATAGATAATAGATAGATAATAGATAGATAGATAATAGATAGATAATAGATAATAGATAGATAATAGATAATAGATAGATAGATAGATAGATAGATAGATAATAGATAGATAGATAATAGATAGATAATAGATAGATAGATAGATAATAGATAGATAGATAGATAATAGATAGATAATAGATAGATAGATAATAGATAGATAGATAGATAATAGATAATAGATAGATAATAGATAGATAGATAATAGATAATAGATAGATAGATAATAGATAGATAGATAATAGATAGATAAATAGATAGATAGATAGATAGATAGATAGATAGATAGATAGATAGATAATAGATAGATAGATAGATAATAGATAGATAGATAGATAGATAGATAGATAGATAGATAGATAGATAGATAATAGATAGATAGATAGATAATAGATAGATAGATAGATAATAGATAGATAATAGATAGATAGATAATAGATAGATAGACATAACCTTTGCAGTGCTACACTACTGGTTCCACCCCCCCACTAAGTGCCCCTATAGCAAGTCTCTTGCTATGGGGGTACTCGTGTGTGCCCACTCCTGAGCCCTGCAGCCGCTCCCTCCTCACTGGTTCCGACTGACAGCAGTGGGAGCCAATGGGGAGTGAGAGAGCCTTGGTTCTTCTCATGCACAGGGCTGGACCCAGATTGGGCTTAAGTATGCATTTGGGGGGCTGCAGAGAAAGCTTCAGAGAATGCAGTAAGGTAAAAACAACCTTTACAAACACTTTAACCCCTTGGTGTCGGCGCCTCCCGGTTCTTTCAGGGTTTCAGGAGGCGGGGTGGGGTTTAGGGTCATGTGACCGCCGTGACACACCATCACGGCGGTCACATGATCGAGAAAGGTCCCGACCGAAAGAGGAGATCGGGACCTTTTCCGTGAGTACCAGACGTGTGCTGGGAGCTCTGAGCACGGCTTTTTTTTAATAGAACACAAATGTGCGGCCGCTCGGCGTTTAGGCCCAGACGCCGGGAGGCGGCACATTTGCGTTCGGACGGTGCCAAGAGGTTAATCACAATGCAAGTATCAGCAGCTGCCCAACTAAAAACAATTCCCTTCCTGTAGGACTGATATATTATCTCAACAGTCAGTTAGGTTTCAATCACACTTATGAATGGAGCCATTGGTGATTAGATGCGGTGTGGGGGGGGACCTAGCAGGGGGTTTCCCTGCAATTAGCTGCGGGTGGGAAGCTCCATTGAAAATAACGGAAGGCTGAGAGTTCCCACAGATGATTGCATAGAATCGCTCATGGAGCGACTACCTACAAATGATTGGTCCTGGATGTAAGTAATCTATGTCAAAGGTCGATCATTTGTAGGTAGTCAGCTCATGAGTGATTTCATACGACCAGCTGAGGGAGCGGTCATCCTCCTGATGTTTTCAGTGGAGCTTCTCACCTGCAGCTATTTGCACAGATCCCCCCCCTCCACCCCCGGGTCTCCTGCATCCAGCCACAAGTGGCCCCATTTGCAAGTATGAATGGGGACTAAGATAGATACCACACTGGGCGGCTGAGAGCTCCATTTAATGTCTAATCTACAAATCTGGATGTAAGGGCTGAGGGGCCGAATTTACTAAACTGGAAAGTGCAAAATCTGATGCAGCAGAGAAACCAATCAGCTTCCAGGGTTATTGCCAAAACTTCATTGAACAGGCCGAAGTTAGAAGCTGATTGGCTGCCATGCACAGCTGCACCAGATTTTCACTCTCCAGTTGAAATATATCAAACCCTAAGGCCCCTTTGACACGAGCGGACCGATGGGGTCCACCTGTCCACTTTTCAGGCGGACCTGATCAGTCCAACCATTGATTTCTATTGGACCGGCGGGTGTCAGTGGACTTAGACTATAGTCCGCTGGCATCGGCTCCAATCCTGTACGGCAAAAACAGACGGATGGGGATCGTTCCCCATCCATCCAGCGGATTGGATGACAATCAGGTGGAAACGAACATTGAAATCAGCGGCACAGCGGACAGAAACCATCATCCGTCTGCTCAGCTGGGATCAGCGGAGAGTTCCCCCCACTGAGCAGGCAGATCACGCTGACTGATCAGCCCCGTCGGTAAGGGGCCTTAGTCTATCTTTTGGGAAACAATTACAAATGCTCTCAGTCATTAAAAAAGTGCGTTTATTATTTTGTAGAGTATTCCACAATCTATGGATCGCAGATACAATACACAGGCTCCCGCAGACTCTTCGGTTCCAGGAAGTGTCAATGGACCGCAAGTCACCGCACTTGTATTCCATTGGGAAGGAAGAGTCCCTTTGACACATGCTGGGGATTTTTAAGCGAGAATGACAAATGCTGGGAGAGCCGCACCCATAGGGCAATGTAACAGATACGCACCATGCGGAACTGAGCCTGGGCCTGGTGGAGGATGTTGTCTTGCTGGGACTCCGCGATACTGGTGAATATGCCGAGCTCCGGGTTGTACTGTAGGACGCTCCCCTGCAGATGGGTGAGGAAATGGCCGAAACTGCGGATGTAGCAGCTGCGCACGATGGACTGCGGACAGAACAATGACATTGTTAGGAGACATCGGCAATAGAAGATTCATTCTCAAACAAGTTCTAGGTTTTCATTTATTATTGACTCATTCCACAATTATTTATCAATTACATCGGGGCCTGGATGAGCCCTCCCCTCCCCCTCAGCATGTCTGTTCGTAGCAAACAGTACCAAGAACATGGCAGATCCACAGAGGGACCTCCACAAAGGGACTCAGTCCTTGATCAAATTTATGGTCAGCCAGCGGAACCCCCAGTGGGATGGGACAGCCCCAGGAAGGCGACAGAGATGAGCCCCTTCCCCAGCCAGTAAAAATCGATCCAGTGGTTAAATAGCCGCTAGGATCGCTTTGACATTTAAAGTCCATCTTTGCCTTCCAAAACCAGCAATGGCTTGTTTACATCCAGCAATGGCTTGTTTACATCCAGCAAAACCAAAAGTGACAAAATACTTGTTGGTTCTGGTTCCTTAGACCATAGAGATGATCAGGGACATTACGGTCCTTGAACATCTCTATGGTCAGCCAGCGGAACGCCCAGTGGGATGGGACAGCCCCGGGAAGGTGCGACAGATGAGCCCCTTCCCCAACCTGTAAAATCGATCCAGTGGTTAAATAACCGCTAGGATCGCTTTGACATTTAAAGTCCATCTTTGCCTTCCCAAACCAGCAATGGCTTGTTTACATCCAGCAAAACCGAAAGTGACAAAATACTTTTATGGTCTAAGGAACCAGAACCAACAAGTCGGGGACATTTGTCACTTTCAGTTTTGCTGGATGTAAACAAGCCATTGCTGGGTGGGAAGGTAAAGACAGATGGACTTTAAACCTGTCAAAGCGATCCTAGCGTGGTTATTTAACCACTAGGATCGATTTTAGAGGCTTGGGAAGGGGCTCATTCTTGTGCCGCCTTCCCGGGGCTTGTGTCCCATCCCACTGGGGGTTCCGCTGGCTGACCATAGAGATGTTTCAAGGACAGTAATGTACCCCGATCATCTCTATACATCTAAGGAACCAGAACCAACAATACTTGTTGGTTCTGGGGGACCATTACTGTCCTTGAACATCTCTATGGTCAGCCAGCGGAAACCCCCAGTGGGATGGGACAGCCCCAGGAAGGCGACAGGGATGAGCCCCTTCCCAACTTGTAAAATTGAACCAGTGGTTAAATAGCCGCTAGGATCGCTTTCACATTTAAAGTCGATCACTGCCTAAAAAAAAAAAAAAAAAAAACAACAATACCGGGATGATGCCTGGAACTGCAACCATCATCCCGGTATAACCACTCAAACCCCCACGATGCACTGGTACATCACTGGGGCTTAAGGGGTTAAATAAAAAACCTTTAATAACCGTTATTTTCTTGTAGACGACTGAACACATCTTATACAATGAGGACTTTCCTGTACCTCCTCCAGAACGGTGAGATCCGGCCTCTCCTTCTCGAAGTTGAACTTGCGGTGTGCAGCCTTCAGCGGAGGTAGGTTCCTCAGTGCGGCGTCCTCCGGGAGCAGCAGGTGGGTGAACAGGTCTGTCTGCTCGGACCCGTGGAGCAAGTTCTGGACCTCACTGCACACAGAGATTCCTAACAGAGGGAGAGATTCAAGATGGAGTCACTCATGTTCACTGACATGAAACAGGACAGAGCCCTAAAAAGTAGCTGTGCTGGCGACAGCCAGAAATTTCCTTTTGCCTCCCACCCAACAAGGCTGCTGGAATCTGATTGGCTGTTACAGGAAACAGACACTTTTTGCACGGGCTCTGTAAGGTAGAGGGACTGTTACCTTACCGGATTCATGGATCTTGGATGCCGGTGGCAGGAGGTTCAGAAGCACCGACAGTCGGTTCCACAAGCTTTGGGAGCTCTGCACAAGGAAATGAATGGGTTACAACGAAAAACTTCATCTGCAGTCAAAGAGGACCTGTTGCTATTCCTCCCACTGTCCCCAATGATGGGGCACTATTCCTCCCACTGACACCAATGATGGGGCACTATTCCTCCCACTGACACCAATGAAGAGGCACTATTCCTCCCACTGACACCAATGATGGGACACTATTCCTCCAACTGACATTAAAAATGGAGCATAATTCCTCCCACCGACACCAATGATGGGGCACTATTCCTCCCACGGATACCAACGATGGGGCACTATTCCTCCAACTGACATTAAAAATGGAGCATAATTCCTCCCACCGACACCAACGATGGGGCACTATTCCTCCCACCGACACCAACGATGGGGCACTATTCCTCCCACCGTCACCAACGATGGGGCACTATTCCTCCCACGGATACCAACGATGGGGCACTATTCCTCCCACCGACACCAACGATGGGGCATTATTCCTCCCACGGATACCAACGATGGGGCACTATTCCTCCCCACCGACACCAACGATGGGGCACTATTCCTCCCACCGACACCAACGATGGGGCACTATTCCTCCCACCGACACCAACGATGGGGCGCCATTCCTCCCACTGACACCAATGATGGGGAACTATTCCTCCCACTGACAGCAATGATGGGGAACTATTCCTCCCACTGACACCAATGATGGGGAACTATTCCTCCCACTGACACCAATGATGGGGAACTATTCCTCCCACTGACACCAATGATGGGGAACTATTCCTCCCACTGACACCAATGATGGGGAACTATTCCTCCCACTGACACCAATGATGGGGCCCTATATCTCCTACTGACACAAACAATGGTGCATGGTTACGGACTTCAGAACATTTTCTACTGCTTCTGGCCTCAGTCCAGCCCCTCTAATGTCTGACTGTTAATAAACTGGCCCTTTGTTTAGAATGTTTGGTGACCCCTGGCATAAATGATGGCTTCAGCTCCTGTTCACCTCTAGAGCGTTTTTGCCCTTTTTCAATCTCTAAGATTAAGCCTCAAAAAATGGCAAAATGTGTGAGGAGTGCTCTACAGGTGGGGATGAGGCGCTGAAGCCCTCTTTTATCCACCTCATTCACATTTATACAATAGGGAGAGGGTGTTTGTGTGCAGATGGCCGCCATTTTGTTGAGGTCCTCTTCGAAGACATTATGCTACATATGTGTATTGAACCAAGTCGAGGTAAAGGAATCTCAGGTACATTGCCTAAATGGTTATACAAAGAGATGGCCGTCATGTCCTGAATTACTTTACTGGGACAATATTGATTCAGGACGGTGCAGCTGAACACCTGACCAACAAAGCTGCTGATCTCATGGAAGAACCCAACTTGTCTTCTGTGTTCCTCCGAGGATTGGCCACCATGGTTAGCCTATTGTTTCCCCAGCCAGTGTGAACACATCAGACTCTTCCAGCAGACCGGGGTCAGTCGGGCGGCCTTTATGTCTACCTGTGCGCACATGATGATGATGTCTGGGTTGGTCCTCAGCCAGTCCAGGAAAACCTTGACGGAGGCCAGAAGCCCCTCACTGGTGATGACCTCCAGCTTCTCCTGAAGAGTCCTCTCATTGTGACACGACTTGCTGCTCTCCATACTCTCCTCCGAGTCAGAGACGTCCCCTACAACAAGGAGGGAGAACAGCATGAAATAATTATTACTACAGGTACTTGTATAGCTAGCTCTTTATATATATATATATATATATATATATATATATATATATATATATATATATATATATATATATATATATATATATATATATATATATTTTTTTTTTTTTTTTTTAATTATAATAAAAATATTTATATTATAAATATATATCATATTTATACAAGATTTATATATATGTGACTGCTTAAAAAAAAAATTATATTTTAAAATATATATATATATAAATATAATTTGTTATACTATAATACATTTTTTTTTTTAAGCAGTCTTACATATATGTGATAGATATATATATTATATGTGTGTATATATATATATATATATATATATATATATATATATATATATATATATATATATAATAATACTATAATATAGTTTTTTTTAAGCAGTCATATATATATATAAAAAATTTTGTCAAGCAGTCTGATACTTTTTGTAGGTCTCATGCACACAGACCTTTACAAACCCTTGAGGCCTACAGCATGTCATTTGCAGCGCTTCCCTACACCGAGGAGCCCCGGTGCCACGTATGTCCACCCGTACAAGCGTATGGCAGTATGTGGCTGGCTGCTTATAAAAGGCCAATGGCTTCTGCATTGGTGGTTACCCCCACGTGTCCAAAAGCAGAAGTGACCTGTCTGGGAAATTACACCGTATGCCAGGGGTGTATTTACCACATGGCATTTGCCTAGGGCGGCTTTTTTCAGGGGGGGCAACACTACTCCTTGGAAGGGACACACACGGCATTGGGATCTGGTGGGTCTGAGAGAGACTGCGGGTTTCATGACGGTGTATGAACAGTCTGACTCCCATTCCTGGGGATGTGCGGAGCTGTAAAGGTGTGTCTCTCTCTCTCTCACCATGGAGGATGGTGGCTGGTGCATGGGGGGCAGTGGTAGTTGAAGGCTTGGTAGAGGGCAGGGTGTTCTTGGTCAATGTCAGGCTCTGGGGGGTGCGCGCCAATTTTTGCATTGCCTAGGGCAAGCACCGATGCAGAAACCATTGGCCCACAGCAGCCATTCATGTGTAGGAGTACAATGGCTCCTCGAGCCCATGAAAGTGCCAGAAATTCTACATAACAAGACTCAAATGTCTGTGTGCAGGAGCCCTTCCCTATGGATCTGAATGGAATGGATCTTCCCTATGGATCTGAATGGAATGGATCTTCCCTATGGATCTGAATGGAATGGATCTTCCCTATGGATCTGAATGGAACGGATCTTCCCTATGGATCTGAATGGAATGGATCTTCCCTATGGATCTGAATGGAATGGATCTTCCCTATGGATCTGAATGGAATGGATCTTCCCTATGGATCTGAATGGAATGGATCTTCCCTATGGATCTGAATGGAATGGATCTTCCCTATGGATCTGAATGGAATGGATCTTCCCTATGGATCTGAATGGAATGGATCTTCCCTATGGATCTGAATGGAATGGATCTTCCCTATGGATCTGAATGGAATGGATCTTCCCTATGGATCTGAATGGTATCTCATGGACAACCCCAAAGACTGCCTATTTCTTGACTCTGATACATTTGAACCATCCAGCTCTACTTTGGCATTGGAGGCCCAAGCTCCTACCTTGCTCTGCAGAATTCGGTTTCTCCGCGTCTCCGTTCACCAGTGGCACTTGGTCTTTGGCGCTGAAGGCCGCCGGCTCAGAGGAAGGTTTCACAAAGACGTTGGTGAAGGTGGGCGCCAGGCGAAAGCAGCGTTTGGTCTGAAACATCTGGGTGGACATGGCCTGGAGGTTGCTGGCTATACTCGCCTCGCTGGTGGTGGGTCCGGGGACAGTTAACCGGGGTCTCCGGAGCTTCAGGTTTGGCAGGGCTCACCGACTTTTCCTCACAGGTTTTGGCAGCTTCCTTTGACTCCTTTGGACTTTTGCCCTCGTCGCCGTGGTCGTCCTCCATATCTTCTAAGTCAGAGCGCGACTCCTGACTGTTCATGTCTGAATCGGATTCGATGTCGAAGGCGGCCTCCTCGTCGCTCTTTTCTGAAGCGCTGTCGGAGTTGTCGCTTCCTTTAGGTGAGCCGTGGCTGGAGTCTGAATCAAAGCCCTCGCTCAGGTCGCTCTCGTCTGCCTTCCGCGCGTGTCTCCTCCTACGCAGGCGGGAGAGGCGGGAGAACTTGTGGCTCTTCTTGGTTCTGGGTTTGGCCCGCGGCTGCTTGTTGACCTGGTTCATCTCCGGCCCCGCGTCTTTCTCAGTCACATCTGAGACCTCCCTGGATTCCGGGTCATCTGTCAAATGCAACAGAACAAGTTTAGGAGGAACTCCAGCCTTTCCATTCCCAGTATAGTACAACGTAAAGAAAAACCAAGATTTGGGCCTAGATTTTATGGGTGCCAGAGCCACTATTTGGGAAATTCACCGTCCCCTTCAATTGCTGTCACCCGGACAAGACAGGAAATCTAAAGCAGGCCACAGATAAGTTGAAAACCGAACGAAAATTCTCGATCATCGAATCGTTTGTTTTTCACATCATTAGTGTGCCAGCGGCAACACACACGATTGTCGCGCCGCATTCGAAAGTGTCTGAAACAACATGATGGCTTTTTTTTTTTTTAACCTCTTCACGCCGGTCGTATGCAAATGTGTGGCCTCCCGGAGTCTGGCCTAGACGCCGAACGGGCGCCGCACATTTGCGCTATATTAAAAAAGGACATATGTGCCAAGAGCGCGCCTCTGCACGCTCCCAGCACACATGTCCGGTACTCACAGAAAGGTCCTGATCTGCTCTTTCGATCGACAGGGGGAATGGCGACCCATCATTGGCGTCAACGGGGGGGAATGGCGGCCCATCATTGGCGTCAACGGGGGGGAATGGCGGCCCATCATTGGCGTGCGGCCAACGGGGGGGAATGGCGGCCCATCATTGGCGTCAACGGGGGGGAATGGCGGCCCATCATTGGCGTCAAACGGGGGGAATGCGGCCCATCATTGGCGTCAACGGGGGGGGGGAATGGCGGCCCATCATTGGCGTCAACGGGGGGGAATGGCGGCCCATCATTGGGCGTCAACGGGGGGGAATGGGGGGGGAAACGGGGGGGAATGGCGGCCCATCATTGGCGTCAACGGGGGGGAATGGCGGGGCCCATCATTGGCGTCAACGGGGGGGGGAATGGCGGCCCATCATTGGCGTCAACGGGGGGGAATGGCGGCCCATCATTGGCGTCAACGGGGGGGAATGGCGGCCCATCATTGGCGTCAACGGGGGGGAATGGCGGCCCATCATTGGCGTCAACGGAGGGGGGGGGAATGGCGACCATCACTGGCGTCATGTGTGGGGGGGGGGGTGGGGGTTAAGGGGGGGGGGGCGGGGAGGGGGGGGAGGGGGGGGGGGGGGTGAGCGGGAGGGGGAAGGGGGAGGGGGGAGGTGGCAATTGTGGGGCGGGTTGGGGTGGGTGGTTGGGCGGGGGGGTAGGGGGGAGGGGTGTGGAGGGGTGACGTGGGAGGGGGGGGGGGGGGGGAGGGGGGGGTGGGGGGGGGGTGGGAGGGTGGGGGGGGGGGGTAGGGCGAGGGTGGGGGATTGGGGGGGGGGGGGAGGGAGGGGGGGGGCGGGGGGGGTGTAATGGCTGGCGGGGGGTGGGAGGGAGGGGTGCTTGGGACAGCGGGTTGGGGGGGTTAGAGGGGTGGTAGAGGGGGGGTGCTAGGCGGCGGGTGGGGTGGGGGCAGGGGTGGTGGGGAGGGGGGTGGGGGGTGGGGGGTGGGGATGGTGGGGGGTCAGGGAGGGGAGGATTGGGTTGGGGAGATGGGGGATGTGGGGGAAGGGGTGGTGGGGAGGGCGAAGGGGCGGGTGGGAGTGGGGGGGGGGGACGGGGGGGTGGTGGGGTAGGGTTGGGGGGGACGGGGGTGGTACGGTGGTGGGGGAAGGGGGTGGTGGGGGGGGAGTAAGGGGGGGGGGGGGGGGAAGGGGTAGGGGGTTGAGGGGGGGGAGGGGGGGGGGAGGGGGGGGGAGGGGGGGGGGGGGGGGGGAGGGGGTGAGGGGGTTGAAGGTGGGGAGGAGTGGGGGGGGTTGGGAGGGGGTGAGTAGGGGGGAGGGGATTGGGGTGAGGTGGGGGGGGGAAAAGATTTGAGGGGGGAGGGGGGGGGGGTGTCGGGGGGTCCGGGGCGGGTTGTGGGAGGGGGGTGTAGGGTTTAGGGAGGGGTGGTGGAATGGGAGGCTGGGGGTCGGGGCGGGAAGGAGGGGGTGGGGGGGGGAGGGGGGGGGGGTGGGGGGTTAGGGGGGGTGGGAGGATAGGGGGAATGTCTGGGGCGGGGGGGGTGGTGAGGTTCGGGTGGGCTGGGGGAATCGGTAGGGGGGGGAGAGGGCGGAGTAGGGGGGGGGGACCGGTGGGGGGGGGGCGGGGTTGGGGGGAGGGGGTGTAAGGGGCGGCTAGGGAGTGTCGGCTGGAAGCGTTGGGGGGGCGGGGTATAGTGGCTGGGCCTTGGGACAGGTCGGTGGTGCCTGGGTTGGGGGTAGGTCCGGAGGGATGGCGGGGGTGGGAAATTTAGGCGGGTAGGGGGCAGGACGGGCGGGTGGGGGTGGGGGGAGGGGGTGTGGTGATGGGGGGATGGATGGTAACGACATCGGGCTGTGAGGGGGAGGGGGGGGGAGGGGGGCGTAGGGGGAGGCCGGGGGGTGGGGTAGGGAGGTCGGGGATGGAGGGGTGGGGTATGGAAAGCCGGTGGGCAGGTGGGGGGGGGGGGAGGGTGGGGCTGGGTGGGGGTGAGGGGGGGGGATGGCGGGGGGGGGCGGGGGGGGGAGGGGGGGGGGTGGGGGGGTGGGGGGGGGGGTGGGGGGGGTTAGGGGGGGGAGGGGGGGGGTGGAGTGAGGGGAAGGGTGGAGTGGGTGGCATGAGGCGGTTGGGCGGGGTATTCGATATTGGGGGGGTGGGGGGGGGGGGGGGGTGGTGGGGAGTAGGGGGTTGAGGTGGGGGGGGTAGGGGGGGGGAGGGGGGTAGGGAGGGGGAGGGGGGGGGGGGGGGGGGGGGGAGGGGGGGGATAGCAGTCGAGGGGTAGGGGGGTTTGTGAGAGCGTAGAGGGTGTGGGCGGGCATGGGTGGAGCAGGGGGGGGGGACGGTCGGGAGGGCGGGGGGCGCGTGGGGGCAGGGTGGGTTGCGGTTAGGGCGAGGGTGGGGGGTGGTGGGTGGGGTCGGGGTTGGTGGGGGGGGGGGTGGTTAACGAAGAGGAGTGCTCGGAGTGAGGTTGGTAAGATATGCGGGGGTGTGGGGGGCGTAGGGGGTAGGGGGTGGGAGGAGGGTTCAGACGGATGCGGGGACGAATATATACGTGTCAACGTTGGGCGGAGGGGCTTTGGAAGAGCGGGGGGGTCTGAGGGGGAGGTTGGGGGGGTGGGGAGCGTTCGGGGCGTGTGGCGGCGTGAGGGGCCGGGTGTTGGGTGAGAATCGGCGCTATCTTTAGTGAGTAATATCGAATCTGTGGAGGAGAGGGGGGGGGGGAGCAGGGAGGGGACGGAGATGCGGGGTCCGGGGAGATTCATCGAGCTTAGATGGTAGATGGAGACGTGGTTGACATGGGTTGTGACGCGAGGATAGGTACGGGGGGTCGGTGTCTGTGCGGTGGGGGGGCAGTGATTGTCTGTCTGTTTATTTTATTATTTTTTAGGTTTTTGTAATCCGTCCTTGTTCTTTTTTTAATTTTTTTTTTTTTTTTATTTTTTTTTTTTCTCTTTTTAACAAGGGGAATGGCGACCCTATCGATGGCGTCAAAAACAGGGGGGAATGGTAGAGCCATTACGATGGCTGTCTCAACGCACTGAATGGCGCGAAACCCCATCGATATGCTGTCAACACGGGGGACTTGGCGCACCCAACGATGGACCGTTTCAAAACAGGGGTTGGGAATGGCGACCCATCAGATGGCGAAATATACATGGGGGAATGGCGACCCGCAATCAATGGCGTCAACAGGGGGTGAATGGAGATCCATCATGGGGCATCTAAACAGGGCGGGAATGGGTGACCATCTTTGGCAGTCAGCTGGTGGAATAGTACCCAATAAGGCCAGATAAAAGGCAAAGCCAAAGAGCCCATCCGCCCACCCTATCCCCAGCCACAGTTTGGAGACCACAGAACTAGAATGATAGAGGACAGTGGGGGAGAATCCTCTATTCTTACAACGATCATCACACCTGGACTGCGTCGTTCGGGACGGCGGGCCGGACGGAGCTCTCCTACCAACTCGACTCTGCAGTCTGATGTTCACGTGGTTCACGCAAGTTAGGAGAAGAGGGGCCAAGGCGTGAAAGTCTAAGGGCAGCGCTGTACTGCTCGCTGGGAATTCTGGAGGAGATCAGAGGGGCGAAAAAGCGCATGAAGAAACGTAAGGACGGACATTAGGATAAAGGCACTTAGATGAGCACTCAGTCAGAGACGAGCTCCTCCGCCTGGCGCATGGGGCTGAGCAAGAGATGGTAACCCTATCTCGCCGGCGTAGATGATCTGGCCCCACACCGTGCTCCGCAATCACACACCCTGCCACCCTTCGACGACACGCGTTTACTCGAACTGGCGCTGTCCCAACGCCCTGTGCGCGTCCACTTCATAGTTGAGCGGTCAACTAGGAGACAGCAACTGCTAGGGACACAGACGTCACCCTGATCTGGTATATCATGCGCGTGGTTGCAAAGCCCTGAATAACCCACCATGGGGTTTTTTTTTTTTTTTTTTTTTCTTTCTACTAAAACTGGACGTGCCGCATAAATCTGGTTGTGCATTGGATAGCCAACTCAGACTTCTAACTGTCAGCTCTTTGTTTTGGTTTCTCTGCAGTAGAGGCTCCACCCTGATTTTGGCACCCGTCTTGCGTTTTAGCCAAACTGACCCCCTAATGCCTGCATTCAAGGCCTTGCACCCGCCGGACAATGGATGTCAAATTAGGGAGCAGGGTCCGTGTACCGTGCAGCCGCCGCGCCCCTAATTATATCAGCGAGACTGACAGCACAGGGATGCGTGGAACACCAGCGCGACCCTCCGCAAGTAAACGCAGCCCTCCGCAGGCAACACACCTTTATGACACCCCAGTGTGATTAATGGAGGGGGGAGGGGGCTAAAATAAATATTTATAGTTCTTTTCATGACTCAGAAACATGGACCCTCAGGCCTCACCTGCCCTCTTCAGGCTGTGAACACTCATCAGGCAGATCACCACCATCCTAAAGAACCAGCAGGTCCGGCAGGAAGGAGTAGCCTCCATCATTACTCCTCCTCGTCCTCACTGGCGGAGCTCAGGTTCTGGGAGGACGGCAGGTAGAACATGCACAGGTTGTAATCCTCCAGAACAGACTGGCACAGGGAGGTCAGCTCCGAGTCCACCGAGCTGCAGGGAGGAGGAGAGGAGAAACAACCGTGGTCAGGGTACAACAGGCATGGACTTCGTTTTTTTCTGCACCGTTGTCGCGTTTATACGAATGCAGGCGTACCTCGGTTTACGAATTTAATTCGTTCTGCGAAAAATGTGTAAAATGAAACGTGGTTTCCCATAGGTAATGCATTGGAAACCAATTAATCCGTTTCCGGAGGTCAGAAAAAAGTCAAAACAAAGTTCTGTTCAAAACTATTTCTAAAGTGCACTTTAAAGGCATAAAAAAGGGACATGATTAAACCTCTTCACGCCGCCGAGCCGCACGCAAATGTGCGCTCTGGGCCTAGACGCTGAGCCGGGCCGCGCATTCACGTTTTCTATTAAAAAAGAACATATGTGCTGAAGGACGCGCGCGGCCTGCACGCTCCCAGCACACGTCCGGTGCTCACGAAATGGTCCGTGCTCCTCTTATCGATCAGGACCTTTCCCGTTCATGTGACCGCCGTGACGGCGTGTCACATGACCCCTAAAGCCCCGCCAGTCCTCCCGGCTTCTGAAAACCTTAAGGGTCGGAGGCGCCGGAGTGAAGGGGTTTAAAAAAAATAAATAAATTTTCGTAAATGCATTGAAAACCAAATATAATCCATTCCGTCGAGGTCAGAAAAAAAGTTGAAAAAAAAAAAAAAAAGTATTTTATCTGTTCAAAACTCTTTTAAAAAAGTGCACTTTAAGGGCATAAAGGGACATGATTTAAAAAAAATTGTAAATGCATTGAAAGCCAATTAATCCGTTCCGGGAGGTCAGAAAAAAAGTAAAATAAAAAAAAAAAAAAAAAAGTATTTTATCTGTTCAAAACTCTTTATAAAGTACATTTTTAAGGGCATAAAGGACATGATTTAAAAAAAAATTGTAAATGCATTGAAAGCCAATTAATCCGTTCCAGAGGTCAGAAAAAAAAGGTCAAAAACATGTTTTTATCTGCTCAGAAAAACACTTTATAAAGTGCAATTTAAAAGCATAAATACTGTACTGGGACGTGATTAAAAATGAATTCATAAATGCATTGAAAAATCAATCTGTTCCGGAGGTCAGAAAAAAAAAGGTCAAAAAAAATCCGTCAAAAAGCTTTTTTATCTGCTCAAAACAATTAATAAAAAGTACACTTTTAGAGGCATAAACCTACATTATTAAACAAAAAAAAAACAAATGCATTGAAAACCAATTAATCTGTTCTGGAGGTCATAAAAAAGTAAAAAGAAAAAAAAAAAAAAAAAAGTCTTTTTTATCTGTTCAAAACTCTTTATAAAGTGCACTTTAAAGGCATAAATACTGTACAGGGACACGATTTAAAAAAAATTTGTAAAATGCTATTGAATGAAACACCTGTTACTTCCTTTCCCGGAGGTTTTTTTTTCAGAACAAAAGAAAAAGTCAAAAAAAATAAATGTTTTTTAATCTGGATCAAAACTCACTTTATTAAGTGCAACTTTAAAAAAAGGCATTAATTCAAGGACAGTGATTTACAAAAAATAATAAAAAAATTAATTCATTAAATATACATTGAAAACCCAATTAATATCCGTTCTGGAGTTCATCAAGAAAAGTCAAAAAAATGTTTTATCTGTTCAAAACTCTTTATAAAGTGCACTTTAAAGGGCATAAAGGGACAGGATAAAAAAAAAAATTGTAACTGCATTAAAAACCAATTTAATCCGGTTCCAGAGGTAAAAAAAAAAAAATATGGGAAAAAAAGTTTTATCTGTACCGGGACTGATTTAAAAAAATTTGTAAATGTATTGAAACCCCACTAATCCGTTCCGGAGGTCGCAGAAAAAAAGTCTTATCTGCTCAAAATGCTTTATAAAGTGCACCTTTAACGGCGATAATATAGGTATAGGGACATGATTAAAAATGAATTCATAAATGCATTGAAAATGAAACCGCTTACCCGGATAGTCAGAAAAAAAAAGTTATAATTTGCTTCAAAATGCTTTATAAAGTGCACTTTAAAGGCGATAAAATACATGATATAGGGACATGATTAAAAATGAATTTTCATAAATGCATTGTAAAATAAATCCGTTCGCCGTTGAGGGTCAGAAAAAAGGTCATAAAAATGTTTCTGATTCAAAACTAAATATAAAAGTGCACTTTAAAGGCATAAAATACTGTACAGGGGACGTAGATTAAAAAAAAATTGTAAATGCATTGAAAACCAATTAATTCCATTCCGGAGATCAGAAAAAAAGTAAAAAAAAAAAAAAAATTAGTATTTATCTGTTTTCAAAACATCTTTATAAAGTGCACACTTTAAAAAGGCATAAAGGGACTGATTTACAAAAAAATTAAAAAATGAATTCATAAATGCATTGAAAACCAATTAATCCGTTCTGGAGGTCAGAAAAAAAGTCAAAAAATGTTTTTATCTGTCAAAACTATTTATAAAGTGAGACTTTAAAGGCATAAAAAGGGACAGGATTAAAAAAAAAAAAAATTGTAACTGCATTAGGAAAAACCATTTATCCGGTCCAGAGTGTAAAAAAAAAAAAAAAACAAAAAAAAAAAAAATATCTTATTTGTTCAAAGAACTTTATTAAAGTGCACTTTAAAGGAATGTAAATATGTAATGGAATGATTTTAAGGAATAAATTTGTAATAAGTATTGAAACAAATTACATTATTGATTCTCATCAAAAGTATAAATTAAACATATATAAATTTCAGTATAAAAGGCATAAGAATATAAATGGAATGCATCCCACCCACCCCCACACCACAACCCCCCAAACCCCCACACCCCACCTAAAAAATAAAACACAAAAAGTCCATATAAGAACCATTCACCAATTTAAATCAAGACCCCCCTACCCCCCCCCCCCCCACCAAATACACATCAATCCCCCCATCACCACACCTAAAATAATACCTCCACACACTCCCCCACCAAACCTAAAAATCATTCTCATAAACAAATCATATCACAACCCATAACTACCACATAACCCCCAATAATTTCTAAGACCCATCATACCATCATCCCATCTATATAATAAAAATCTAATACCATACTCCTTAACTTACCAATATAATATCTCTTATCAAGTTTCTCCAACTCACCCATGTCAAAAAAATAATAAATACTCCCAGATGATATCTACAACAGATATATATAGACCCTGAGTCATATATCCCACAACACTCCCACTCCAACCTCTTCATCACCCCCCCCCTCTCCATACAATCCCAAGACCATCACTACCAGCCTCCACGGCTCCACTAACACTCCACAAACTACCCCACTTACAATCAATTTTACCACACACTCCACTAAAACACCATATACTCACATTAGTTTGCCATAGCCCCCCACGCCCCCCCACTCATTCCATCCAAAATACCTTATTATTCAAACCTCACCCCCTCTACAAAACCAATCCCATCCTCTCACTTCCCCCAGCATCGGCCACCTACCCACGACACGCTCTGGCCTCTCCCACGCCTCCGGCCCCCCCATAAAAACCCCTCGCCCCCCTCTACCAGACAAACACCCTACTGCCTCGCCCCCCCCTCATAAATCACTATAATATAAAAATTCACAATACACCATACATCTTGCCACAGAGATCTGACTACCCTCTTCGACATTCTGAGCTCTCGCACTCGATCGCCCCCCGACTACACTCTACACCCCCGACACACCACCCGCGCTACCCCTCCGCCAAATGCCTCGTGCGCCATACCTCCTGACGCCCCACTCCCACGCCTTAACCGCCTCAGCCCCTCACTTATCCCTCCTTTCCCAAGTCATTCCATACCCAACCCCCTGCATCACCCCAAACACCCCCCCCCTCTCCCCTCACCCTAAAACTACCATCTCTCTCACACCCCTTATCTCTCAGCCCCATTTTTCCAACCCCCCTAGCCCACCCAGTATCGCCAAGGCCTCTCCCTCCCTCTTTCGCCCCCCCCCCCGCCCACACTTACTCTTCGGCACCCCCATACCCTGCTGCGCCACCCCCTTTCCACCCCCTCTCCCCCCCGTCCTCGATGACCGAGGCATCTGCCCCTCTCGCCTCGCCCCCTCACCACAACTTTGCCCCCCACTCCCAGCACCCCCATACCGAATTCCCCACGCCTCCATCTACCGACAGCTCGCTCCTACGCTCCTCACCGCCACCGCGCCTAACAAACCCCAGCGAGAGTTCTAGCCCCGTGTTAATAACCACCCTCTCCCCCCCACCCCCCCCTTCCGCAACCCATGCTCCCCCAGAGAGAGAGTCCCTATACTCGCCTTCTCCGCTGAGATGGCAACTCACCCCCGCACAAGATATCATGATCTGGTGCTCTCGACACACCGTATCCATCACCTCTGTGTGCGCGCTTACACCCCCTACGCATCCATACCTACCCAGGCGCTCAGCCTGCTCCAAACAGGCTTGTGCTGTGGCCCCTCTACTTCGCCCACTACTAAGTCTGTTCTGTCGCTGATATCCTGACAACAGTACATTTAAAATGTTGTGTCTCTGCGGGCGATCCTGTGCAGCGCAACAAACCCTACTGTCCAACTCGAAGATACACCCCTCGAAAGACAGGTTATATTGTAAGAACTTCAACAGATACTTTTGCAGACACATCAGCAATTTCAACCGTAAGACCAACAGCCATAGTGGAGTCGCTGACCAGCCATTCTTGGTATTTGTTAACCGTCTCAGACAAATACATGAAATACTGTATCCAGCAGTCCATTTAGTCCTTTACTCCAATGGCTAGATCAAAAACACTCGGCATAAGAACCACCTCAGTAGACCGAAACCCTATTCCTAGCTTCCCCAGGTAAACACCATCCCAAAAAAAAAGTTGAATGCTCATGACTCTCGCCGCCAATCACCCCCCCG